GCGATGTTCTGGCCTCCTTGGCGGTCGCGGGCGCCCAGAAGACCGACGAGCGGAGAGCATTCCCCAAAATCATGCAACAACCCATGGAAATCGTTTCCTCTGCGTTTCGGAGGCTTCTTGGGTTTTTTTTCTTGGGGTCGTCCTCGGCGTCTGGTGGGTGCCTGGGGCCTCTTGGAGCTATCGCGGGGCCGTTCGGCTAGAGGGCCACATGCGAACCCTTGCCCCTACCCCCCACGACTTCTGAGAGGGAGGGTGGGGTTCACTTCGCTCGGGAGCCCAGGGGTCGGGTTCGCATGTGGCCCCCTATCGGCCGCTCTCGTGACCGATTTGGGCCCGCTGCCTGGGCCCAGCACGGGTTTCCGAGAGCCCCGGGAAGCCTGGAGGCCCTTCTGCAGGGGCGTGCAGGACGCTCCTGGAGCCACGGATCCAGGGGGTCCCGTCATGGGTGGGTGGGGGTTCCCCATGATCACAAATTCTAAACACATAGAGAGGGAATGAATATATATATATATATATATATATATATATATATATATATATATGTATATATAAAGAGAGAGAGAGAGAACAAAAAAAACGCGAGAGAGAGAGATAGAGGGACAGAGACAGAGAGCGAAAGAGGGAGGTCAATCCTTGAACTGGAAAGCCGCTGGCGAGATCAAGCCGCTCGCGAGATCAAGACGCAACCACGCACCTTCTTCACACCACTCCTGAGAAACACGAATCGCATCACGCCGGCGAAACATGAATCGCATCGCGATGGGAGACAGCCGGCACCAGACAGTGCGCCCAGTGAGGTGCCACCAAGACCTGGGGAGGAGGCAGGGCGGAGAAAAACCGAGAACGCACCCGTGGCGTTGGTGCCCACGCGCGCTGCTGGGCGCCTGAGCGCCCCTGCGCCCTCGTTCCGGCGAGCGCCTGCACCCAACAGCCGTCACCTTCAGGCGTTCTGCAAGCAATTTGTGGCGATTTCGCTTCGCTCTGTGGGAACGCCAGTCGGTGCCTGAAGCGCCCCAAACAACACCGCGGGCCGCCACCGCCCGGGCCCGCTCACACCTTGGAGGTGGGTGGAGAATCCCCCACCCTGTTCCTCCCTCGCGCCCGTCCTTCCCCCCTTCCCGGTTCCGCCTCTGACTCGGTAGGATTCAGGGGATGCTTGCTGTTCGGCACGTCGCCGCACGGGCTTTGACTCAGTCTGCGCCGCGCGTCTTCTGAACTTCAGTCGTTGTGGAAGGCATCACTGCGTAAGTGGTCGAGGGGGCCATATGGGAATTTCTGTGTACATGAGGCATTGTCCGTTTTCGGTGCCTCCTCCTCGTCCTCCCTCCTCCTCGTCCAATTTCATCCTCCTCGTCCGCCTCCTCCTCCTCCTGCCCCTCCTCCTTCCCAGGTCTTGGTGACATCCACCACCGTGATTGCACGGAGTGGGCGTGTTAGAACATGCGTTGTGTTGTCTGGGAAGTGCTCGGGGGGGTCAAAAAGACCCCCCCCCCCAACCAGCGACGCGCGCGCGGCCCCCCTAAACGAAACGCCCCTTTTGAAATTGTTGCCTGGCGGACGTCTCGGCGTCCAAACGGCCAGGATGGCTTCCGCGGCTTGAAAAAACAACCAAGACGACAACAAGCCCGCCCAAGATGGTCCACGACAACTCAAGAGCCGCCCAAGGGAACCGCAAGACGGCTCAAAATTGCCCACGAGGGCCTCCAGGCGGCCCCAGAGGCCCCCAAGACGGTCTGATAGAGCTTCAGGAGGCCTTCCTGGAGAGCCCAAGGGGCCAACGCCATTGATTGCCCTTCGATGTTTGAAACGGCTCTTGAAGATCTCGCCTCTTCGGGGCCCCCCAGGGGCCTCCAACACAACTCCAATACAGCCCCTCAGGGCCCCCGAGACCGAGACGACCCGCAGTTCTCCCCAGGGGCTCCCCGAGAGGGCCCCTGCACGGCCGTGAAACGTTTGAAGGAAGCAACACGACGGCCCACCGAAGCCCTTTGGGCTGCTTTGGGCGGTCGGAAACCCAAACATGCCAGAACCTCAAAAACCTTCGCTTACCAGGAGCTAAGGTGTGAAGGTGGATGGGCGCCTGAAGCGTCGACTTGTGTTAACGACCTCGTCCTATTGTCGATACCATTGCGGGGCTGGACTTGCTGATGAAGGTGACGTTCGTGATGTCGACTTGATGACGTAACCGCGCTTGGAACAGCATCAGGGACCGAGCGACCCCACGCCTGGCAACTGAAATGGTATGAAGCCTATGGCTCTGCCACACGTGTTTGACCTAAGACAGCTGGACTGGTGAGAATCGGAAGCCACTGCCACCATTTCTGGACCTGCGACGGCTGAAATCGAGCCAAAACACATTACGTAGCGAACCTCGGCTCTGAATTTGCGAGCGCTGGAATCGAGCCAGAACGCTCGCCCCCCGTGTGGATATTCGGGTGCGACACATCGTGGACAGAACGTCGAGCCAAAACACCATAGTGAGTCTCATGTCTGGACCACAGCGAGCCAAACACTATAGTGAGTCTCATTTCTGGATCTGCGAAGACTGAAATCGAGCCAGAACACTATAATAAACCTCATCTCTGGACCAGATCGAGCCAGAACGCTAGAGTGAGTGTCATTCCTGGATATGCTGGGCTGAAATCAAGCCAGATCGCTCGGCCCCCTGATGGAAATTCTAGCGAAAGGGATCCTTGAGGTTCTTACATTGAAATCGAACCAGAGCACAATCGTGAGTTTGATTTCTGGATCAAATTGAGCCAGGACAACATAGTACGCCTCATGTCTGGATCTGGGAGGGCTGAAGTCGATCAAGAAAACCGTAGTGAGCCTCAGTTCTGGACCAGGTCGAGCCCAGACACCAGGGTGAGACTGATTTCTGGATCTGCGAGGGCTGACATCGAACCAGGAAGCCAAAGCGAGTCGACTCCGGACAGCCGCTGGACCGGTGAGACGCCTCCCCTCTGTGGACAATCCAGCCAGTACACCATCGTGTCTTTCATGTCTGGACCAGGCCGATCCACAACCCAATCATGAGTATCATCTCTGGATCTGAGAAGGTAAAAAATCGAGCCACAACACAATGGCGAGTCGCATTTCTGAGCCAAATCGAGCCAGAACGCCATAGTGAGCCGCACGTCTGGACCGCATCGAACCAAATCCCGATAATGAGCGCTGCCGGCACGCGCCGCTGGACCGTTGAGACGCCTCCTCCCTGCCCCCCTGGTGGATATTATTCTGGTTCGAGGAGATCTTTGACTCCTGTTCGAATCCTCAGGCGAACCGCTATGAAGAAGAAGAAGAAGAAGCCTGCGGAAAATCAATTGTTTCGGCCTCCTCGGGCTCTCTTTGAGGGCCTCTTGGAGACCTCTTGGGCCGTCTTGGGGGTCTCTTGATCTGCATTGAGGCATGCTTAGGAGTCCCATGGTCTACAGGACGGCTTTCAAGGCAGCCAACATGACGCCAAGATGGCCCAAGACGGCCGAAGAGGCTCCCAAGACAGCCTCAAGACAGATCAAGAAACTCTGAAGACAGCCTAAGAGGTCGACAAGAGGCCCAAACCATTGATTGTCCTGAGGTGTTTGACAAACGTAGAGGTTCTCAATCGTTCGGGTTTCCGACCACCCAAGACGGCCCAAGAAGCCTCCAAGAGGCCTCCAAGATAGCTCCAAGACAGCCCAAGAGGCCCCCAAGAGGGGCCCAAGTCGGCTCAAGAGAACCCAACGATCGCCCTAGAGGGCCCCAAGACGGCTGTGAATCGCTCCAAGAGGGCACCAACGCGGCCTAGAGAGGCCCCCAAGGCGACATTCATTCATAGGCGTCAGACGGGCCAAGAGTCCCCTAAGACGCCCCACGAGGCCCCAAGAGGCCCCAAGAGGCCCCAAAGAGGCCCCATCAGACCCCCAAGAAGCCCCCAAATAGCTTTCAGGAAGCTCCCCAGAGGTCCCCAGGAAGTCCCAATAAGGCCCCAACAAACTTTCTCCTCCTCATCCTCATTTTCTTCCTCTCCTCATTTTCTCCCTCTCCGCCTTTTCCTCCTCCTCCTCTTCCTCCTCCTCCTCCTCCTCCATACCGTGCGGATGAAGACGAGGACGAGATCACGACCCGCCCCAATGCAGACTACTCGTCGGAATTGCGCTGTTCCTGCACTCAGCCTGCTTCCTGCTGCGCTGTTGCACAGGCACGGTCGCGGGTCGCTATGTATGTATGTATGTATGCATGCATGCCTGTATGTATGTCTGTCTGTCTGTCTGTCTGTCTGTCTGTCTGTCTGTCTGTCTGTCTGTCTGTCTGTCTGTCTGTCTGTCTGTCTGTCTCTGTCTGTCTGTCTGTCTGTCTGTCTGTCTGTCTGTCTGTGTATGTATGTATGTATGTAGGTAGGTAGGTAGGTAGGTAGGTAGGTAGGTAGGTATGTGCGTCGGGTGGTTCCGGCGAGGTTTCGCCAAGTCACCGCTCGTGACCGCCTCGTGCGCTGGGTGGGTCCCGCGAGGTCTTGCCGCGTCGCCGCCCGTGGCCGCCTCGTGACCGCCTCGTTGCCCCCCACTCTGGCGGCCCGCTGGGGGTTTCTTTGTGTTGTCGCCCGAGGCCGCCTCGTTGCCGCCTCTTGGCCGCCCCGTTGGCTCCCACGTGGGGGGCCGCCGAGGTGCAGCCACATAGCCTGCATCAGATAGCTTCCATCACAGAGCCTGCACCACATAGCCTGCACATCCACAGCGCAATACCTTACTGCGTGGTGCCCATGCTGGCAAACATACACGCACTCACAGTTGCACACACACGCACACACTTGCGAACACTGGCGCACGCTTGCGCCCATTTGCCGACATATAGGTATACATATTTACACAACGACATACACACATATCCAAGCACACATACATATACATATGTACGCGTGTATCTATACATATATAAACAAAAAGCATACACCTATATGACAAAAAGTCTGCACAAACAAATTGCGACTGCGACGCCCGGATCTGAGGGGCTGAGGACCTGGCCTGGTCGGCGAGGCGCTCCAGTCGGCCGCACAGGTCGTCCATCTGCTGCGCGGTGTCCGCTGGCCCCCGCGTGGCGGGGGCGGCGCACCCCGGCGCGGGAGGTGGCTCGCTCCCCCCTCCCCCGAAGAGCGCGGGAGGATGCGAGCGAGCGACCCCAGCGTCCGTCCAGAGGACTGCTGCTACTTGATCGCTGTGCCACTCGTGGGCCTCGTGGGGCTGGGTCGGCTGGTGCCTCCTAGCGGGAGGATGGGCCACTGTGGGCCTAGCGGGAGGATGGAGGAGGGCGGGCAGAGGGGGGGGGAGCAGAGGGGGGAGGGCGGGACATGGAGCCCCTTCGGGGCGTTGTGTGCTCGTATGTCTGTGTGTCTATCCTTATCGGCATCGCTGCTGCTCCTTCAGGAAAGGCAGCGGCGGACAAATGTTTGAATTGTTTCGGGCTCTGGGGATCCTTACTGGACCCCAGGGCCATCAAAAGACTAATCAGAATGCGAAGCCGGTCCCAGGGAAGGGAACGCGACCAAGGGGTCCACGCTGCGAGCAGCAATGCGACGTCGGAGTTCTGAGGAGAGAAAGGGGGGATGTTCCCCCTCCCCTGCCGCCATGGAGTCCAAGATTCAACTGCAGGGTGGGGGTGGGGAGTACCACCCTCCCCATCACCCCCCCCGCCCCCAATCTCACCTCGCGCCCCCCTCGCAAGCCCGTTTGGTCCGCCTTACCCCTCCTCCTCCCCCTCCCCCTGTCCTCCTCCTCCGCCACCTTCTTCTTCCGTGGCTGCTCCCCCTCCCCCTTCCTCTCCTCCTCCTCCTCCTCCTCCTCCTCCTCCTACTCCTCCTCCTCCTCCTCGCCCGCACCCCCTCCTTGAGGGTCGGCGGAGTGTGCAAGTCTCCCAGGATAGTTCTCCATGCCCACCCCCCTGCGTACCGCGCACACAGGTGATCAGCGGGGTGGCTGGCCGCCCCGGCTGTGCCAGGCGGGAGGGGGGCCCACATGCATGGGCGCTCGGGCCGGCCAGCGGCTGCGGATGTGGGGGTGGGATCGATGATCCTCAGAGCGCGTGTTAGCGCCACCGTGTGCTTGTCCACCGAGGCACTTCCACACGACGCGGGCGGTGTCATGAGGACCAGCAGGAGCTGTATACTGTCGGCAGTTGGTGGAGCCGGACGAGGTAAGCACACATTGACCAAACACGCGCCCAGAGGATCACCACCAGCTGGGGGGCGCTACGGGAGCAATTCCTTGGCGGCGCGCAAAAGGGGGTAGGGGGAGGGGGGAAGTCTTCTTAGAAGCGCCCTGCTTCTTAGAAGGCCTCGGCCTTACGTCTATAGAGAAGGCCCGCGCCTTCAAAGAAGCAGGGGTGCTTGTAAGAAGCCTTCCCCCCTCCCCCTACCCCCCTCTGCGCGCCGCCAAATTCCGGCAGAGAGTGCTTGGCTGGAGGCCTCTGCCCACGCCGTGGCGCGGGAGCGCGTGGGAGCCACGCGCGTGGGAGGGCGCGCGAGGTGGTGCGGCCGGTTGGGGGACGAAGACAACGAGGATGACGATGAGGACGACGGGGACGATACGGAGGACGATGAAGAGGCAATCGCCTCGACGCGAGCGAAGATGACTATGAGGATCTCCTCTGTCGTTCCGATTCCAAAGGTTCATCCCCGAAGGGAATCCCCGAATAGGATGGTGACGCGGATGATGATGTTGATGCTTGTGAAGGTGAATATGAAGATGGATACGAACATGATGATGCGGCTGATGATGATGCTGATGATGATGCAGATGCTGATGATGCTGATGATGATGATGACGATGATGAAGATGATGATGATGATGATGATGATGATGATGATGATGATGATGATGATGATGATGATGATGATGATGATGATGATGATGATGATGATGGTGATGGTGATGGTGATGATGATGATGATGAACATGATGCTATTCAAGATGCTGATGATGATGGTGGTGATGATGGCTGTCTTGACGCAAATCCGATAAGGACGATTCGGATGAGGATGACGATGATGCCGGTGACGACGGTGGTGGCGGTAACGACGATGACGATGATGCCCGTGACGACGGTGAAGATGATGATCAAAACAATGATGAAGGCATGAAAAAGAGAGAGACAACAGACATGACCATGGCCGTGTCTGTGGCACACGCACTTGGGACACTCTCGGGACGATCAATATTGGCTAGCCGTGTACCGTAGGATGAGCGTGGCCACCCGGTGCCCTCCTCCCCCTTCTCCTGCCTGGAGGATCAGAGCGCGCAGGCACAGACCTTCCAGAGAGGAAGCGAGACGGGTCTCCGCCCAAGAAGGGCCCGGCAGCGGAGCTGGGCCCGCGCGGGGCGGCGGGCGGCCCGTCCTGCAGGTCCAGCTGGTCCAGCGTGGACACGGCCTGCTGCGCCTGCCGGCACGCGCGGCAGGTCGCACCGCTACGGGTGGCGGGCGGAGGACGGGCCCAGAGCTCAGACGATGTGATGGCTTCAATCCTCGCGTCTGTCCTCGACTGCGGCCTCGGGTCCCGTTTGGGGGCCCGGGGGGAAGAACAAAAGTGCCCCCAGGACTGAACAGAAAGCACCCTCGTGGAAGCGGTCGGGACCTCTGGGGCTGCGGGTTGATACAATCAGATCGGCGGATGTCGGAGGATGAGGATGAGAAGGCGAGTTCCCGCCCCTTCAAAGATTTTGACCCTGAAGCTGCTTCCCCGATTGTTCTGATGTTGAGACGGCTGCCTGAGGTTGCCCGGAACAGATATGAAGGGCAACGATAAGGGGGGGTGGACTGTCATAAGGGGGGAGGCATCGACCTAGAACTTGCGATGCATTGCCGATAGATCGGCGATAACTCCCCGATGGCGAATATGCACATTCCTGGGCGGGGGTAGGGCTATCGGGCCCCTATCGGCGATGAATGGGCGATTGGGGTCGATGCGTCCCCACTATGCCTATCCCCTCCCTATAACTGCCTCTGAAAGTGTCATGGTTCAGACGAGTGTTCCATGCTCGAAGACCGATTTCCCCTACGGGAAGCAGCGGCAAGACTGCCAGCGCAGAATGGCGAACAAGCCCCGATGTCTTCAGCACCCGGGCCCTCATGCAGGTGATCCTGCCGAAGGACCCAAACATCGGCAGCTGTGAGCATTGGGAACCCCCAAACCGGGTGGTGAGATACCAGGTGGCGACCTGGAATCCCCAAAAAGGTCACCGCTGGGTTTGGGGACGCGGGGTCACCACCGGGTTCTGTGACTCCTGGACCCACCAGTGTCCGGGACATCCTCGGAAAACCGCACGAGTCCCCAAACCGGGTGGTGACACCAAATCGCCCGAGACTCACCGCCAGGTGTTGTCACCACCACGTTTGGGGACTACCAAGAGCACCGCGAGAGGCAAACGGGACGACCGGAAGGGGAGCTCCCTGCGGGGCCGCGAACCGCGTGAGGCGGGCGATCGCGCGAGGGGCGTGCGAACATGGGGCGGGTTACAGTCGGGGCCTTGACCTAAGGAACCCAAAATAAGGAACGAGGCCCCTCTGTCCATTAAGGTAAGCTTCGACTTCCGATCGAGAACAGAAGGAAAACCTGAGGCAAGCTGCGAAACACGTAAGGACCGCGGAGCCCCTCCCCCACGAAAAGGGTCCCTTCTCCAGGGCCCCGACTGTAGCACGTGCGGGCTGTGGGGGAGACGCGTCGTGATTTTGACACGACGCCCTGGGGGGTCTGGGGATATGGGTCGCTCTGGCGAGGGGCCACTCCTGCGGTGTGCAGTCGCCTCGCCCCGACCTCCCCCCCCCGCGACTGCCCGAGCGCATGGGCGGCGGGCGGCCTCCTCGGAGGTCTCGTACCGGACCGTGGCGGTGGCGGTGGCCACGTGCTCGACCGCCGCGGGGGCGGCCGCCACGGCCACGGCCACCGGCGGCGGCGGCGGCGGTATGGGGAGCGAGCCCACGGCCTCTGGGCGCGGGCTCCGCCCAACACGTCCGAGGGACGGATGCTTCCAGGCCCGGGCACTCCCTTCCCTCACTGCGGCCTGGGCCCTGACCTCCCAGAGTGCTACAAGCTAGCCCTCCAGACCCACAGGCCTCCATGGACTGGATGATACCTCAATCGTTTCGCTTCTGATGGCCTTCCGAAGCCTCAAGATGGTTTCATGATGGGCCCGAGAAAAATCGCCCGACAGGGCTTCAAAACCGTTTCAAGAGCGCCCAAGAGCACCCCACTGGGGTTCTGGAGGGGGGACACCAATTGGGGACCACCCTTCCTTGATCCACCTCCTCCAAGATGGTCCCAAAACAGCCCCCAAGGCCCACAACAGGGACCTAAGAAGGCCCCGACTAGTCCCCACGAAACCAACAAGACGCCCCAAGAGGCCCCCCCAAACCCCAATGCGCCATAAGCGGCCATCGAGATCCCCCACCCAGGAGACATCCCAAAAGGATTCCGAGAGTTGTAACAAGCCCCAAATTCATTGAACCTGCCCAGGATATCCAAACAATGCTTCGCTCCCCCGATACTGGCAGCTCCCCTAGGCATCGTTCCTGGTTGGGCTGGTGGGGATATGCGAAGCGTGCAAGATTTCTTTCGGGCGCAGCTGGGTCAAGTGTGGGCGCTGGGACCCAGGCAACGCGAGCGCGCAAAATGAGCATTCCACCCGACACACTCTCTCCACAATCCTGCTGAGGGGGGATCTGCACGCGCGTTCTTGCATTGTTATTCCTGTTTTGATTTCGCGGTCTCGTTCACACTCTCTTTTTTTTCTGATGTGTATATATATATATAGATGTATAGGTATTCAAAGATAAATCCATCTGTGTCCCACCCCATACCGCCTATCGCTCCCCTCTCTCCCTCCCTGTCTCCCTTCCCCCTTTCACTTCTCCCTGTCTTCACTCCTCCGCCTTTCACTCCCCCTCCCATTTCTCCAAGTCTCGCTCCTGTCCACTTCTCCCTGTCGCCCCTCCCCCTGCTACTCCTCCCTCGCCCCTCCAGCACCCTCCCTCCCCTCCCACCCAATCCCTCCCTTCCCTCTCCCTCCTCTTCCTCCTGTTCCTCCTCCTCTTTCTCCTCCTCCTCCTCCTCCTCCTCCTCCTGCGCCTCCTCCTGCTCACCCTGCTCCTCCTGCTTCTCCTCCTCCTCCTCCTCCTCCTCCTCCTCCTCCTCCTCCTCCTCCTCCTCCTCCTCCTCCTCCTCCTCCTCCTCCTGCTCCTCCTCCGCCAATTGAAACATCGACGCTGGGCGCGGGCCAAGCCTGCAGGGGCGCCCCGGCCGCCGCCGCCAGCTCCTGCAGAGCTTGGAGCGGCTGCGGCACCTGCGGCGGCGGCTGCGGCACCTGGCAGGCATCAGCCTGGAGGAGGAGGAGGAGGAGGAGGAGGAGGAGGAGGAGGAGGAGGAGGAGGAGGAGGAGGAGGAGGAGAGAGAGAGGAGGAGGAGGAGGAGGAGGAGGAGGAGGAGGAGGAGGAGGAGGAGGAGGAGGAGAAGGAGTAGGAGAAGGAGGGAGAGGAGGAGGAGGAGGTTGGAGCGTCTGAGGAAGAGGAGGAGGAGGAGAGGGAGGAGGAGGCCGCCCGAACTTCGCGGGCCGCACACCGCGATGGCCGCGCGGCTGCCCCTGCGCCCTCGCGCCGCCCCCGCCGGACGCTCTCAGGGCTGGGCCGCGAAACGGGCGAATCGCGTGACGATCTTCGCGCCCGCGCGGGTGACCTGGTCGGCCGGCGTCCGCTTCGCGCGGGTCCTCCCGCTTCTCCCGCTCCTGCCTTCCCTGCACCTCCCTGCCCCTCCCGCCCATCCCTCCTCCCCCTCCTCCCTACTGCTCCTTCCTCCTCCTCCTCTCCTCCTCCTCCTCCTCCTCCTCATCATCATCATCATCATCATCATCATCATCATCATCATCATCATCATCATCATCATCATCATCATCATCATCATCATCATCATCATCATCATCATCATCATCATCATCATCATCATCATCATCATCATCATCATCATCATCATCATCATCATCATCATCATCATCATCATCATCATCATCATCATCATCATCATCATCATCATCATCATCATCATCATCATCATCATCATCATCATCATCATCATCATCATCATCATCATCATCATCATCATCATCATCATCATCGCCTCCTCCTCCTCCTGCTGCTCCTCCTCCTCCTCCTCATGCTCCTCCTCCATCCCTTTTCCTTGGAACTTTTTACATGACTCCTTCCTGCCGCGCCCCCAGACGTGTCGGTAGGGCGGGGGTGGGCGTCTCGCCTGAGATGTCTTTACCATTTACGGTTCTGGAACTTGAGCTTCGCAACTGTTTCAACGATGGGTGGCGGGTCGTTTTCAAACTGTGGTTTTCGTATGAACGCCGCGCGCATTCGGCTGAAACGCTTGCAGCAGCTTCAGGGATGGAGGGCGGTTCCTTCTCCATATGCGCGGGGCCGCGCAGCTTGTTCTCTTCGGCATTCGCAGCCGATCCAAGGATGGAGGGCGGGTCGTTCTCAAAATGTCGCTGTCGCCCAGGCGCAGCGCACACGTGCTTCAAAGGCGTGCCGTGACTCCAATGACGGAGGGCGGCTCCGTTGCAGCATGAAGCTCTGGTCTGAGCGCCGCGCTTACTCGTCTTGAGCGTTGAGCACAGCTTCGAGGAATTGTATGGACGAAGCCTCATAATGGCACGATGAAGGACTGTCAGGACGATGCAGTCAGGTTACTTCGTGGTGCTGGCGTCCCACGAACTGTTTTCTGGCACGCCTCAGGATTGCCAGGATGACGTGATAGTCACGATGATTCGTGGCGCTGAAGTCCCAGGACATGTGTTTTGGCACGATTGCGGATTTTCTGGCGGTTGTCTTTCCATAGGGTACTTCCTGCAGTGGCAAGAACGTTGCAGGAACCCAACAAGAAGGAGCTTTGAGGGAGAGTTTATTCCCTCTCCGCCTCGTCCTCCACGTTGTCCTCCTCCCCTTCCTCTTCCTGCTCCCCCTCTGCCTCCTGTTCCTCTTGCTCCTCCTGTTCCTCCTCCTCCTGCGCCTCTTCCTCCTCCTCTTTCTCGTCCTCTCCTCTTCTCCTCCTCCTCCTCCTCCACAATCACTCAACATGAATACTACTCTCCTCTCTCTCTTGGTGACCTCCGGAAGATATTCGGCCCCCCTCCGCGCGTTGTTTTACACACAGGATTCCCGAATAGTTGTTTTGTTTGTTTTTGGGGGGCGGGGTCCAACATGTTGATTCCGCTGAAACCCTGGCCTCATTTTCGGGCTTCCGCTCGTTCCGAATCGTGCTCCCGCTGCAGCGCTGGCCTCATCTCCGCGCTTCCGCGCGTTCCGAACCGTGTTCCCGCTGCAGCGCTGGCCTCATTTCCGCGCTTCCGCTCGTTCCGAATCGTGATCCCGCTGCAGCGCTGGCGTCATTATTTCCAGTGCCACGTCACGGCATGATTTTCGGTCCTTCCAAGTAGACCCCAAAATCTAGAAAATGACCCCCGAACAAATCATCGGAAGTGACTACACATCCGGTGCCGATTTGTTGATTTCTGGGGCCCCACTTTGGGGCGTCGCCGCGCCATGCCATGCCATCTTACGCACTGATTATTTAACACCACGCTATGCTATGCTATGCCATGTAATGTTCTTTCACTGGGAAGGGGCCCAAACCATCGAAGCGTCGCCGCAAGGGCGCTGACGCTTGAGTACGAGCATGGAGGTCATCCTGCACGACTGGAGGCCTCTCCCCCGTCGGAGCCCCTCGGGGCCGGGAGGGGCCTCCCCTGCCCCCCTCGGGGGCCCGGGCATGTTTGAACATTCAGGTTTTTCTGTTTTCTGAGAAGTTCTTCAATTCTTTATAGTTGTTGTTTGTTGGCAATCTCAGGGGCCCAGGAATCCGCAGCCCAGGCGATCATGAATCCTGAGAAACGCAGAGGGTGATGACGACGATGAAGGGAGTGGTAGATCAGGATGGGGACAAGGAGGAAAAGGAGAAAGGGATGATGATGAGGAGTAGGAGGAGTAGGAGGAGGTGCCTCTCAAAGTCCATTCAGCACTCGGCGCAGGCAACGCCTGCTCAAGGAAGCGAGGATGGAGGAGGGTCGTCCAGGCCCCCAAGATGGCATCCCCTCCCGGTCGACCGTACCCCCCCCCTCCCCCGTCCTCCTCCTGCGGCGGCGGCACCGCCTGCACGCAGCCGCCTGGCGGCGCTGGCGCCGGCGGGGCCTGGCGTGCGGGCGTCGTCGTCGCCTGTCTGTCGTCGATTGTCCGTCGTCCGTCGATCGTCAATCGTCGATCGTCGATCGTCGTCGTCGTCGTCTTCCTCGCCGTCGTCGTCTTCCTCGTCGTCGTCGTCTTCGTCGTCGTCGTCGTCTTCCTCGTCGTCGTCATCGTCTTCCTCCTCGCCGTCGTCGTCGCACTCCTCCTGCCCGCTTGCGAATGAGGGCAGCCACGCGTCTTCGCCCTCGCCTGCTCTTTGGACGCCCGAAATGGGTACTGGGTACAATGCCCAACAACAAGTGTTGTCCCAAACCAACAGCGGCCGCTGTTGGGCAGGCGGTCTTCTGTCTCGAATGAACACGGGCCGCGGCGGCGTGGACAGCGAGCCCTGTTCAAAACGAACCAGATCCGCTCTTGGGCACTGTACCCATTCGTTCCGCGCCCATTTCGTTCGTGCAGATTCTCGGGAGGGCAGCCACGCGCAGGGCCGCGAGGCCACCGAGCGTCGCGGGCGAGACGGCCAGAGGCGCTCCCCTTCGCCGGCTGGGCGCGAGGCTCAGCCATGTGCAGGCGGCTGCCAGGGAAGGGGTGCCGGCCTCCGGATTGGAAGACCAACCTCCTCCCTTTCTCGGCTGCCCAGGAGCTGATCCGCCAGGATCGTCACTTCGGAGCAGCCTCCTCCTCCTCCTCCTCCTCCTCCTCCTCCTCCTCCTCCTCCTCCTCCTCCTCCTCCTCCTCTCACCGTGTTCAGCAGCGCCGCGGCTGCAGCTCCGTAGCACCAGGGCTCCACAAGTCCGATCCTCCTCCTCCTCCTCCTCGTCCTGCTCGTCCTCCTCCTCCTCCTCCTCCTCCTCCTTCCTCGTCGTCCTGCACCCTTCCATATGTTCCCCTCTCCCGTCCTCTTTCCCTCTCACTCCCTCCCTCGGTCCCCTCGTCCCCCCTTCTCTTGCGCCTCCTTGTCCTCTCCTTCTCTCATACTGCGCCTCCTGCTCCTGCTTCTTCAAGACATCAGCCAACACATGTGCCTTCTCCTCATTTCCAATCCTCCTTCTCCTTCTGCTTCTCCTTCTCTCCTTCTCCTTCTCCGTCTTCTCCTTCTTCTTCTCCTCCCCCTCCTCCCTCGACTTCTCCCTCTCCTCGACTGGCCGCAACTGGGGGAGCCGTTTCTGGCATCATACCGACGATCTCTCGAGAGTGATATCGAGGCCGACGGGACCACTTGAGGGGTAACGACCACAGCTCGTGAAATTGTGGCTGATCTGCCTCCCTGCCCTCGCCCTGGCCATCCTCCTCCATCCTCCCTCGTCGTCGCCATCCTCCTCTATCCTCCCTCGTCAGCGACAGTTCACGTTTATGAAGGCATGTCCTCGTTGACCATTCTTTCCGTACCCACTTCGATCGTACAATAACCAATCCTGGGCGAAAAACATATCCTTGTCCACGGCCTCGCAGGCAAGGCCCCTGGGCAGCGACCCCCGCGGATACGGAGCGCCTTCTCGCGGGTACCTGGCGCGGAACGTACCCGTGCGACCGCGAATCCGCGGGATCGCGCCGCGGAACCCAGACCGCGAGGGCGTGGACATGGCGGTATCCGGCAATCCTGACTCCGAGAGTCTCGCCACCTCTCGGCGACGCATGTCTGCCTTCCGCCAGTTCCCGCCAGCGGGAGCCGTCGCCGTCCTCCCTCCGCCGGCTTCCGCCGCCCTCCCGCCGCCTTCTGCCGAGGAGGAGGAGGAGGAGGAGGAGGAGGAGGAGGAGGAGGAGGAGGAGGAGGAGGAGGAGGAGGAGTGGGTGCCAACTCCTTGGGTCCTCGACGAGGGGGGGGGGGGCTCTGGAGCGCGCACCGTGGCCTCGCTCGCCGCTCGTGTGCGTGGCCCTCCCCCCCCGCTGTGCTGCTTCTGTGGGGCGCAGGGCGCAGTGCAGGCCGCAGGGTCGGAGCAGGGGCCGCAGGGCGCCGCGGCTCCGCGGCGGCCCCGCCTGCAGGAACTGCGGCGCCGCCGGCACGGGGCCGACCGAGGGCCCGACGTCGGCGAAGACGACGGTCCCCTGGCGCGCCCGAGGGGGCAGCAAGGAGGTCAGTCAGAGGCAGCTGTGCTTCAGACTCTGGCGCGTTTACCTGTATGGCGGGGGGGGAAGCGGGGGGGGGCGTGGCGAGGCCCGAAAGGAATTCTGGAGCTCACGCAAGCCGGGACTCGCTTGCACGCCTGTTCGGCCCAGCGCTGCCCGAGAAGGCGGCGGAGGGAGGGGAGGGGAATGCCATGCAAGTGAGCTTGCCTCAGTCTGAAGAAGAACTGCCTATCAACATCGAACCGGGAAATCGGATCGGGGCCGGACTGTGACTCGGATCGGGCTGCGTCGGCAAGGGGCCGAGATGGAATCGGATAAGCTCAGTTGTTCCAAGATGCACAACAAAGGCCACCTCGGATCGTCGGAATACCAAAGTCGACCCAGATCAAGCCGGCCAGACTCGACCTCGAATCGCATCGATCCGATCGAAGTGGACACCGAGGGGGGTCGTGGAAGAAAACTCTGCGTAAGCACAGGTCTGCGGAGGTCCGCGCGAACTTCTCGGATCAGCGCCGGGCCCCCATCCCTGGCCCGCGTTATGCGCCAGGGGGGGGGAACGACGATGCAAGAAACCGAGCGGCCCTTTGGATAGTTTATGTTTGTATGGATGCTTCTTCTTCTTCTTCGAGGCCAGCGCCAGATGAGCGACGACAAGAAAGGGGTCTTGGGCGAGTTGACATAGCGACCCTATACGCGGTGGCTTACGCGGGCCGCCGGCGCGGCATGCTACATTAGAGACGAAGGCGCTTAGACGCGACCTTACGCGGGCAACTTACGCGCTAATGTCGGCGCAATTGGACCTTAGTGGGCCCTGGAAACAGGGCCGTTTTTTACGGGTTCCGTTCTGCTGTTTTGGTTGCCGGTTCCGACGCCGTTTTTTTTCCTGTTCCGTCGCCGTTTTTGGACCGGTTCCGGCTCCGGTTCCAATCCTGGAGCCGTTTTTTTTGCCGTTTCCGGTCGCCCTTTTTTGCCGTTTCCATGTTCAAAAGACATGTTTTGGGAAACGGTGAAAAAACGGCCCTGCCGTCTCCAGGGCCCACAAAGAATTGGACCCGTTTTGTCCGTCGCCCAGATTTGGGAGGTCGGAAAGGGGTGTGGCCCCGTGTGGCAGAAGGGGGTGTGGTGCCAATCGTGGGAATGGCAATGTTATCTACGATAGATAGCATCGCCAAATCCCCCTTTACAGAACAGTGGCACCACCCCCCTGTACACCACACCCCTTTCCTACCTCCAGACAGATGTCGGCTGCTCGCAAGGGTGACCCTAGGCAAGGTAAAACAGGGCTAGGATCGGGATAAATCGCTCCAGAGCGTTCCGGAGCGCTCTCAGAGCGTTCCGGAACGCTCTGGAGCGGCCGCGGCGCCCAATACACCCTCCAAACCCGCCGCTTCTCAGAGATTTCGAGTTATCCCGATCCGATTTTGTCCTGATCTTCGCGTGGTTTCACAAGGGGGACCTCCAGAGTGCACTGCCTGCAATGTGGATTCCGCCCTATAGTGAGGCAAGAGGCAAGAGGAGGAGGAGGAGGAGGAGGAGGAGGAGGAGGAGGAGGCTGCTCGCAAGGGTGACCCTAGGCAAAGGGGGACCTCCAAAGCGCACTGCCTGCCGGGCGTTGCACGGCGGTCCGGCCACGGACAGCCTGCGCGCCTGGGCGTGCTTGGCCTCCCCCCCTCCCGCGCGCCGCCCGGGAGCCGCGCACCCAAGCGGCCACGCTGGCGCGAAGGGCGCGAGGGGCCACTCTTGCGCGCAGCAGGCAGGACGGACGAGGAAATCCCCTCCTCCTCCTCCTCCTCCTCCTCCTCCTCCTCCTCCTCCTCCTCCTCCTCCTCCTCCTCCTCCTCCTCCCACCAAGCGGCCACGCTGGCGAAGGGCGCGAGTGGCCACTCTTGCGAGCCGCAGGCAGGAGGGACGAGGACATAGGAGAGTAAAACGACGCGAAGATCGGGACGAAATCGGATCGGGATAACTCGAAATCTCTGAGAAGCGGCGGGCTTGGAGGATGTATTTGGCGCCGCGGCCGATCCAGAGCGTTCCGGAACGAATCGGCGGGTTTGGAGGATGTATTGGGCGCTCCGGAACGCTCTGGAGCGATTTATCCCGATCCTAGCCCTGTTTTAGAGAGGGCGGAGGGAGGAGGCAGATCCCAGTGGATCGACGCTCGAGGCCTCTGCGGCTTGTGCGCTGGGGCCTCTTCTGGGCCGACCTCGTGGCGCCCTCGCGGCCGCGGCTGGACCCCAGGAGAGGTCCCTGGCGTGGGCTCTGCTCCCCCAAACCGTGCTTCCCTTCAGAGGAGCCGGGCCCACCCGCGGCCTCGGCGACCCCGTTCCGGAGGAGGAGGAGGAGGAGGGGGAGGAGGATGAGGAGGAGGAGGAGGAGGAGGAGATGGAGGAGGAGATGGAGGAAGGAGGAGGAGGAGGAGGAGGAGGAGGAGGAGGAGAGAGATGGAGGAGGAGGAGGAGGAGGAGGAGGAGGACGGAGGAAGGAGATGGAGGAGGAGGAGGAGGAGGAGGAGGAGAGGAGGAGATGGAGGAGGAGGAGGAGGATGCAAAACCCGTCCGCGGCCCCGGCGGCCCCGTTCCCGCCCATCGCCGTCGCCCCGCCGCACCCCCCCCCCCGTGGCATCGCACTTGCATTGCGCTGCATTGCAGTGGCGTTGCCCTGTAATCGCATGGCTCTGCACTGCCTTTGCATCGAATGGCTTTGCACTGCGCTGCATGGTGTTGCATTGCTTTGCGCTGCTTTACGTTACATGGCATTGCCTTTGCGCTGCTTTACGTTACATGGCATTGCGTTGCACTGCACTGGATTGCATTGCATTGCTCGAGAACAGCATCGCTCTGCAGCGATGCGACTCGCTTTACATTGCATCTGCTTGTGTTGCGTTGCACTGCTTTGCGCCACGTTGATTGCACCAGCTAGATTGCGCGACATTGATTGCATCACCTGGATTACAAGAGATCGCTGTTTGGGGTCCACTCCACGCTGGCTCACGTCTTTGATGGATAACGAGCGATTGGATACCCCAGTGCCATGTTCGACAGGGTGAGCAATTGCAGTAACAAAATACGTCAGAGGTTGGCGCGGATTTCTTGGGGGTCGGCGCTGGAACCCCTTCGCCGCTCCACGACACCCCTGGCGGCGCCCGTGGCGTCGTCCCCAGCGCGTTCCGCGCCCTGGGGAACAAGCGTGGGTGATCAAGTGGGGCCCAAGGCCGGCAGAAGCATCCCGCTCGGACCTCCGAGAACCTCCTGCGCATGGGATCTGTTGCTCTGCGAGTCCGGCGCAGGAATACGACGAGGGACGCGGACCCCCTTGCACCGTGAAGAAAAATACGAGGGGGGGGGCTCTGTCAATGTTCAACCTTCCGGGGGCCTCTTCCTTGGCCCCTAGACCGTCGACGAACCAACCTGCGCCCCAAGAAGCAGTCGCTGGGAAGCAGCCGCGAGGCCTGGGAGCGCATGTCACGAGAACATCGGGCCGCTGGATGTCTGGGGGATACGCAGGGAACGCGCATCCTGACTTTCAAAAACTGACACAACTTAGCACCTGGTCACCGGGACCCCTGAGCCAGAACTCTAGTCGAGGCTGTGAACAGTCCAAACGTCTGGGAAACTACTTGCTTGCACTCTGAAGGTCAAGGGCCTCTCTTCGGATGGCTTTGTGCTTCCGTGATGCGGGTCCTCCATGATCCCGACGACTTGTTTCAGATGCTGCCGTGTCGTGCTTCCAGGACGCGGGCCCGTGATCCTGGCGACTTCCCCAGGGCCCGCTCTTCTTAACGCTGAGCCGGTTTTGACGGTCCTGGGGCTGGGAGTCGGCCCCAAAGCGCAGAAAAGCCAGACGCCTCGACTGCATGCGCCGCCTGGATCTGAAGCGGGCAGCCACGGGCGACGCCGACGCTGGCGGGCGGCGGCTGGCGCGCGGAGGGGCATCGGCACGGGCCCCCAGCGGTGCCGGCGGGGCTTGCGCCCGGGGGGGTCGGGGGCGCCTCGGAGGGTGACGTCCAGGGGGAGATCGCCAATCATGGCCGGAGGCATGTGCGCGGACGAGGAGGGGACCAAGGGATGCATGTTGGAACAAGAAGGGGGGGACCGTGGACTCCGGGGAGATCTCGTGGCCCCTGCCATGACATCCCCCCTTCTGTTGAGTCAGCCGCCCTCGAGGAAGGCGAATTGGATCGAACGGGCAGCGGCCGGGGGGGGGGGGAAGGTCGAGAGCCGCGACGCCGCCTGGGGCTCCTCGGGAGAGCCACTGGCCCGGAGGTTTAGCCTTGGCGGGACTTCCAGTCGCCCTGCCCGTCGGGCGTAAAAACCACCGCGGACCCATGCAACCACCCTGGGGGAGGCCCGAGGGAGGGGGGGGGAGGTGAAGGAAGGAGCAGGTGGGGGACGAGACGGAGAGAGGGGGGAGGTGGTCGAGGGACGAGGAGGGGAGGAGGGTGGAGATGGGCGAGGGATGAGGTGAAGGAGGATGTGGGTGAGGAGGAGGAGGAAGAGGAGGAGGGGGAGGAGGAGGAAGAGAGGAGGAGGAGGAGGAGGAGGAGGAGGAGGAGGAGGAGGAGGAGGAGGAGGAGGAGGGAGGCGGAGGAGGAGGAAGAGGAGGAGGAGGAGAAGGAGGAAGAGAAAGGAGGAGGATAAGGAGGAGGAGGAGGAGGAGGAGGAGGAGAAGAAGGAGACGAAGGAGGAGGAGAAACAGGAGGAACAGGAGGAGGAAAAGGAAGAGGAAAAGGAGGACGAGGAGGAGGAGGAGGAGGTGCGCCGGCCCGAGCAGGTGCGCCGGCCCGAGCCCAAAGTCGGAAACGTCGATGAGCACAAGGACTTCTGGGAGGCGGTTGGCCGGCAGGTGCAACGGGACTGCAAACGGTTGCCCCGCAAGGCAGGTCCTTCCCTTGATGGCAGCCGCTTCGAGCATTGGGCATCCTCTTCGGCGGACTCCGACTACGCGAAGCACCTCGCCATCGCGGCCGTCCAGTTCGCCAGCGGACAGGCGCCGGATTTCGTGTACCGATGCGCACGAGCTGGGCGCTTGCTCATCCTCCGCAAGAGCGACGGCGGCATTCGCCCCTTGGTCATCACCGCCGCGCTCCGGCGCATTGCACTCCGAGCGGTGATCAAGGTGTTGACCCCCCGTGCCACAGCGCATGTGGGGGAGGAGCAATACGCCATTGGCAGGTCGGGCCCTGTCGAGTCGATCACCCACGGCATTCAAGCAGACGTGCTCCAGGACAGCGAACGAGTTGCAGCTTCCCTTGACATCAAAAATGCTTTCGGCTCCATGAGCCGTGGTGTCATGGCCGACGATGTCGTCACTGCGTTCCCGGAGCTGGCGAACCTCGTGTCCACCTTGTACTGCACGGACACGCCCTTGATGTGGGAGGATGGCGACGGGGAGGTTCAGACCATCACCGAGCAGACCGGCATGGACCAGGGGTGCCCTTTCTCGCTGCTCGCCTTCGTGGTCGGCCTCAAGCGGGTCCTCAACCGAGCACGCGCCCTCCTACGTGACGCTGGCCTCGACGGTGGTGTCCGCTTCCGGGCTTACGTCGACGACATATATGTCACATGCGCCGCTTCACGTCTCCCCGCGGTCCTCGCAGCCTTTCGCCAGGCCTTGGCCGAGTCCGGCATGACGCTCAACGAGTCCAAGCTGAAGCTGTGGGGCGTCGAGCGCAACATTCTGCCGATGGACCTCCAGCAGTACCACGTGGAGACGCTCCAGGTCTTGGGGCACGCTGTCGAGCGATCCGGCGGGCAGATGCACACGTTGTGGCTTGGGGACTCTGGCGGGTCCTTCGCTTCGGTCACGGCCGCCCTCAGAGTCAACCTCGACAGGCTGTGGGCCTTGCACGCGGAAGGCGGGCTCCCCAAGCAGGTAACGCAGGCACTGGCGCGCTTGGCCGCGCAGTCAAAGCCACAGCACGTCTTGCGCGGCGCCGCCATCTCTGCTGAGCAAGCCAGGGCCTACGACGCCGTGGTCGAACACTTCTGGGCTCGACTGCTCGGCGAAACCGGCAGTTTCGACGCCCACCGCAGGGTGCAGCTGCACCTGCCATTGCGTCACGGCGGCCTCAGCGTTGGCGGGGTGGAGGTGCGTGCCGATGCTGCCTTCCTTGCCGGCACTCTCGGGGCCTTGAGCGAGGTGATGAGCACGGTTGGGGTTGACACCGTCGCGGAGCTCCGGCACGCGCTCCCGCAGCACGTGGAGGGCATGAACCTCGCGGTGACCAGCCTGGAGCAGAAAGGGGCGCGGGAGCAGACACGCCTGTGGCAAAGCGACCAGCCGCAGCCCGTCAAGGGCATGCAGCGAGTCTGGACTCGAGCAGTCCAGCGCAACCTGCACGATCAGCTCCTGGGGTCGGCTACGCAGCGCCATGCAGCGGCTATCAGATCCGCCTCCACTCCGGAGGCCAGCCGCTTCTTGGACCCGCCGGGGGCCGCCTCCGACAAGATGACGGACGCGACCTTTCAGGCAGCTGCCCGCCGCCGCTTGGGCCTGCGACCCGTGCCGCGTGGACCACACGACGCTACCCACTGCCAGAACCGGCGGCCTGATGGGACTAAGTGCGGCGTGGAGCTGGACGACGAGGGCCACCACGCCAGCATCTGTGAGATCGGTGGTGCGCTCGTGCGCCGGCACGATGGCAGCCGTGACCTCGTTGCCGCCCGGCTTGTCGCTGACTTGCACGCACCAGTTCGCACAGAGCAGCGGTGCCCCCACCTTGACAAGCTCAAGCCGGACGGCACGATGTCCGAGGCACGCTTAGACATCGTTGTCGAGCTGGAGGGCACAACGTTCTTCCTCGACGTCGCCATCGTCGACGTGTTGAGCACGGATTCGGCACTGGAACGGCAGCGTGCGTCTCGAGACGGCGCCGCTGCATGCCGCATGGAGGACGAGAAGCGGACGAAGTACCCCGGCGCCAACGTCGTGCCCCTCGTGATTGAGAGCTACGGGCGAATCAGCGTGAGCGGCATGGCATGGTTGCGCCGGGCGTACCGGGACAAGCCAGAGCTCTTCCAGAGCTTGCTCCGCGCTTTGAGCGTCCACGTGCAAAGCCACACGGGCGCCATGATCATAGCGGCCAGCACTGGCCAGCACGGCGCGCCCCGGCAGCGGGCCGACCAGGCGTAGGCCGCCACGCCACGCTGGTCCACCTCCCGCTTGTTTGCCCTCCCTCCTCTTCTTCCCCCTCCGCCTCCGTCCTCGTCCCTCTCCTCTTCCCCTTCCCCCTGAATGTGGTGACGTTTACCCGGCCGGCCAATTCAGTTCTGCTCGCCAGTGCCTTTTTGAGGTTTCGTGCCAATTACGTGCCCGAATGCTTCGTGCAGTTCTTTAGCCTGAATGAGTTTCGGTGGCGCCTACCCTCCTTCGTCCCTCTTGTCCTCCCTCCTCTCGGCCTTCCTTCTTCTGTGCCTCTCCTCGTATGTGCCACCTTAGCTCTGCCTTGAGTTCGTGTTTGTTGTCTGATTTCGACCCGTCCACTCCAGCCATGCGTCCTGGAGAGGGAGCCACGGGGGATGGCGATTGTTTGACATCGGCGGGGACACAGTGATCCCACGCCGCCCATCGGTCGCCGCTGATCCGTCGAGCAGGAGCGTCTGCGGCAGCGGCCCCTGCAGTCCTGTGGCGGACTCTCGGCCGACACGCCTAACCCCGGTGGCCATGCGTCCCAAAGTGGGACACATGCCGGGGTTGCGGATCCAGCAGGAGGAGGAGGAGGAGGAGGAGGAGGAGGAGGAAGGGAGGAGGAGGAGAAGGAGGAAGAGAGGAGGAGAGGAGGATAAGGAGGAGGAGGAGGAGGAGGAGACGAAGGAGGAGGAGAAACAGGAGGAACAGGAGGAGGAAAAGGAAGAGGAAAAGGAGGACGAGGAGGAGGAGGAGGAGGAGGAGGAGGTGGAGGTGGATGGTGGATGAAGGATGGAGGATTCAGGGTGGAGGATGGAGGATGGAGGATAGAGGATGAAGCAGGGGAGGAGGGGAGGACGAGGAGGAGGAGGAGGAGCAGGAGGAGCAGGAGGAAGGAAGGAAGGAAGGAAGGAAGGAAGGAAGGAAGGAAAGGAAGGGAAGGAAGGAAGGAAAGGAGGAGGGATGAGGAGGAGGGGAGGAGGGAGGAGGGAGGAGGGCGGAGGGAGGAGGGGAGGGATGAGAGAGGAGGGAGGACGAGGAGGTAGAGGGAGGAGGGAGGAGGGAGGAGGGAGGGAGGGAGGAGGGGGGAGGCGGGAGGGAGGATGAGGAGAAGGAGGAGGTGGAGGAGAAGAGGAGGAGGAGTAAGAGGATAAGGAGGAGGAGGGAGGAGTGGGAGGAGGAGGAGGAGGTGGAGGAGGAGGAGGAGGACGGTAGAGCGAGACGAGGGGGAGGGCGACCTCCTTCCGGGCCCGCGGTGCGGAGGGGGGGGCAGGGAGGTGGAGGAAGAAGCAGGTGGGGGACGAGACGGAGGGAAGAGGTGGACGAGGGACGAGGAGGGGGGAGGTGGGCGAGGGATGGGGTGACGGACTCGCATGCAGGATGTGGACGAGGCAACAGGGGAAGGAGAAGAAGGAGGAGGAATGGATGGACGGAGATTGGAGGTTGGAGGTTGAATGTTGGAGAATGGAGGGAGGAGGAGGAGGAGGAGGAGGAGGAGGAGGAGGAGGAGGAGGACGGTAGAGGGAGACGAGCGGGTGGGCGATGGTGGGCGATGGTGGGCGAGGGGGGGGGGGGGGGACGGAGAAGGGAGGGGGAGGACGCTAGAGCGAGACGACGGCGTGGGTGACGACCTCCTTTAAAGGCCTCCTAGATGGGGTCCGAGTAGATGGGGTCGGAGGATCTCGCCGCATCGCCGATGCATCGGCCATGCACTGGCGATGTCGGCGATACATCCGCGACGTCGGCGTGGAGAAAATTGGGCCCGCATCGAGCCGCATCGCCGATGCATCGCCGATGCATCCGCGATGCGGCGCGATCCTCCGACCCCATCTACTCGGACCCCATCTAGAAGGCCTAGATCCTTCGGGCCCCGCGGTGGGCCGCCGGCGAGGCGGGGAGGAGGGGAGGATAGGGGGTGAGGCGGTGGCGGACAGGCAGCTTCGTGTCGAGCCTGTGGAGGCGCTCGTCTGTGGCACCGCCTTAAGATCGTTCAAGATGGAGCGGCCGCGGCCGCCCGAACACGGGGACCGCTCGACACGGGCCGACTCCGGGGGCCACCGGCGGCGCTCGACCCCGGAACGCCCGCGCTGGGGCCGCCGCGGCACGAGCCTGCTGCAGGGGGCGCGGAAGAGCCACCCGCCTGTCGAGCAGCGGCGAAGCGTCCAATGGCGTGCCTGCCGTAGGCCTCCCAGACACTGTTCTGAGAGCCTCGTGTGGGTTCCACGAAACGTATTTAGGACACTTCTGGCTGGGGCTGCCGCGTTTTGACACATCGGGTTTATGCTCTAAGAGCACGGCCTTTGTTTTTAGTAGATCATGCTTGGGTTCTGAGAAAATTTCGTGGTAGGCCTGCAGGAATCCCGGTACGGTGGGTCCCTGCTCAAGCAGTACGAGAACCTCAACAACCGAGGCCCTGCATCAGACGCGTGCAAGCGAGGAGTCGAACGAGAGATGGCTGTACTGCTCCACGCACATTTCAGGCTGGTGAGCGCCAGATGGGGGGGGGGTCGGGGTGGTGCTTCCACCCTTGAAGGAGGGACCAGGAGGGAGGTTGGAGCCGTCAGCGAAGAGTCTTGTCAACTGCTCTTTCTGGCTGGCCCTCATCACTCACGCCTTCTGGGCCTCCTCATCGCTCACGCCTCTGGGGCCTCCGCGTCCTCTTTCTTCTCCTTCTTGGCTTTCTTGGCCGGCTGGCTCGCCGTGCCGAAGAACTTCGCCTTCTCCTCTGCCGTCTGGAAGCGGCCGTGGCCCATCTTGGACGACGTGTCAATGAACTTCAAGGCAATCTCCTCCAGCGCCTTGCGCCTCACTTGCGGTAACAGCGACTTCCGGAGCGTGATCACCCGCTTGCGGGTGCCCACGACACCGCCCTTCACCATGACCCAGTCCTCGTTCACCTCGCCGTAGTGGGAGAAGCCGCCCAGGGGGGTGATGCCCTTCTCGGTCAGGTCGTTTTCGGTCGTGGCACTGTTGGGATCCTCTTTGACGTTCTTGCCGATGCGATAGATCTTCTTGTTGATCTCTGTCCGGTGTCCGTACCCCTTCTGGCCGGAACGAGGCACCTGGAACTGGACCCTCGCTGGATGCCAAGTGCCAATGCACGCGACCTTGCGCAGGCCGCGGTGAGACTTGCGCGCCAGCCGGGTGACGCCCCAGCGCGTGACGACGCCATTGAAGCCGCGGCCAGCCGAGACCCCGATGCAGTCGACCATCTCGCTCGACTTAAACACGTCTGCAACCTTCACTTCCTGCTCGAACAAGCCCATGATGTAGTCGACCTTCGCCTCGGTGGTGCCGCCGTTGATCTGGATCTCCTTGATGACGGCCTTCTTCGCGCCGATCTTCACCTTGGTGACCTGGGTGTGGCAGATGGCCCGGATGACTTGGCAGTACTTCTTGGCACGCGCGACCTCCGCCGCCATGGGCGCGTCGCCGCCGGCCTTGGAGGCCTCCTCCCACTTCTTGCTGTACTTGGTGAACGCCTTCTTCTTGGACTTGTGCCACGCCTTGTAGAAGCGGCGCCTGCACTCCTCGTTCAGGTGGCTGGCCCACACCGTGGTGAGTGCGCGCAGGCCGCGCGGCGTCTCCACGTATCCCACGAAGCCGACGACGACCATCGGAGGAGCCTCCAGGATGGTGACGGCCTCGGCCACCTCCTTCTTATGCAACTTGGAGCCTGGCCGGTCCACGTCGCGGACGATGTGGGTCATGCCGGCCTTGTAAGTCATGAAGGCAGTCAAGTGTGGCGGCTTCTTCTCGTCATCCTTGGGCATGGAACAAAAGGGTCCTGAGGGAAACGGGTCCAGGAACCAGGGGCCTTCCTCAAGGACCAGCTCTTCATCTTGGGTCCTGAGCCTTTTGTTGACGGTCCTGGGGCCCGGGGAGGGCCGTTGGAGGTCGGAAAGGGCGACAAACATCATGACCCCTTCGCTCGGGACCCGTTTGTTTCATGGCGAATCCTTGGGGAAGCTCTTGATCTTGCCGAAGTGGTGCTTGGTCCGCTTGCGCGGCAAGAAGCCCAGGCTGCCGCACCGGGGGTGCTCGAACTTGCGGTGAGACATAGCGGCGACCGCCTCTGGCCAAAAACTGCCCCAACGGAGCCGGCACTGCTGCGGAGGAAGACGGGAGGGAGGAGGAGAAGGAGGAAAAGGGACGGAGGAAGACGAAAAGGAGGGACTGGCCATCGCTTGGACGTCCATTTCCTGTGCTTTTTCTCGGTTTCGTGCGTGGCTTTTCCGCCAGATGATCAAGGATGCGATGCCAAGGGGAGGAGGAGGAGACGACACGGCACCCAAGTCCCCCCCCAGCCGTGTGGGCGCGGGCGGTTTTTAGCGAGCTAGCCCGTCCAGCCGCAGGGCACGTGGCACGCCGTCGGCACGCATCGCTGCGCCGGCGACGCGGCAGGCTCTCGGCGCCCACTCCGCAAGGACTGCCTGCCTCTCGCACGTGCTTGCCCGCCTTCGCCGGTGTCGAACGGCTCGCCATCCGTTTGGGCGCGGTGTTAAGTCCCCCCCAGCCGTTTGGGCGCGGGTGGTTCAGCGAGCTGGCCCGTCCGGCCGCAGGGCACGCGGACTGTCTCTCTCCGACTCCGGGGCACGCGCGGGCGCCCCGTGGCCGCTCTGCGCACGGGGGGTTCGGACGGGGGCAGCGGCGGGAGCCGCATGGTGCTTGCGGCGCGCAGGCCAACCACTGGCCATCGCTCGGACGTCCAGTTCCTGTGTTTTTGTTCGGTTTCGTGCGCGGTTTCTTCGCGAAGTGATCAAGGATGCTCCTCGATGGCCCTCGCCGAAGAGAAAAAACGCACACGTCCGAGCGATGCCGAGACCATCCCGGTCAACAAAACCATGCGACACACGTGTTGCTCCCAAATCTGGAGCATGCGCGGGCGCCCCGCGACCACTCTGCATGTGTTTGGACAGGGGCGGCTGGGGGGCCCGCGTAGGACTGACTGCTTGCTGCGCGCAGGCCAACCATCCCTGTCAATTTGCAATCAGGCACGTTCAGGCGTGGAAGAATGCCATGGGCTGCCCGGCAAGGTTTCTATAATCTTCTAAGGGCCCCCCACCCGCTCGGATAGCAACCAGCCGACTGCGCCACCCCTGCTCCTGGGGGGTTCCTGGGCGGCCATGGCGCCTCCCTGGGGCTCTCCAAGGCTTCCATGACGACTCAGGAGGCCCCCAAGGCGGTCCAAGAGGGCCCCGAGTCGCCGAATGATCGCTCGAAGACGCCCAAGACGGCCTCCAAGAGGCCCCCAAGACGCCCACCCCAAAAAAGGCCTCGGAGAGGCCTCCCACGGAGGCCCCAAGAGGCAGACCGTCTCTCCTGAGGCTTCTGAGAGATGATGGCGTTCCCTCGAGCATCTCGCGAGACTTTGGCGCCAAACCCAGGGGGGGAGGGGGGCAGGGACAAGCCCCCCGCCGAAGGGGAAGACCAGAGGGCCGGAATCCCTACCCGCGCAAACCACCTTTTGCACCCAGGAGGGGGGGGGGAGGGCGCGGCGACGGCCCGCGCGCCTCTGCGCACCGACCCAGGCTCAGAACGTAGCACGAACGCTCTTTGAACATTGGAAGATGCCCCCTCCTCCTCCCTCCTCCTCCTCCTCCTCCTCCTCCTCCTCCTCCTCCTCCTCCTCCTCCTCCTCCTCCTCCTCCTCCTCCTCCTCCTCCCTCCTCCTCCTCCTCTCCTCCTCCTCCTCCTCCTCCTCCTCCGCCTCCTCCTCCTCCTCCTCCTCCTCCTCCTCCTCCTCGGCCGATGCCCCCTTCGGGACGGACATTTTCCACATGAAAGAACGTTCCCAGAGCAAACTAAGACCTTTTCCTGACATGAACGGGAAGCGCGTGGAAGGGAAGATGCCCCCTCGGGGCGGACGTTTTCCACATGAAAGATCGCTCTTAGAACAAACTAAAGCCTTTCCTGGCATGAACGGGAAGCGCGTGGAAGGGAAGATGCCCCCTCAGGACGGACATGCTCCACATGAAAGATCGCTCTTAGAACAAACTAAGACCTTTCCTGACATGAACGGGAAGCGCGTGAAAGGGAAGAGTTTCGCAAGGACTTGCAGCATCATCGCGATCGAATGTAGTACAAGCGAGCTTTCCGAACGCTCACCAGGGATACGTATGGACACGCGCCCCCCCGAACGTTCTCAGAACAAACTGAGATCCGCCACCGTGCCTGCAGCACGCAGCGGTGTGCCCCGAGGCTCATGCAGCCCTGGGAAGAAGCTTAGAACGGCTCGAAAAGTTTTGATATAATATTATATTATATTATAGTATACTAATAATAATAACAATAATAATAATGATAATAAAAAATGATAATAATAATAATAATAATAATAAGTGACCGATCCTCTTACACGGGGCCAGGGGGCAGCTTTTTCTCAGGAGGAGGTGAGGCAGCCGGGCTCTTGTCGAGGCAGAGGCGGAGCTAAGGGTGCCGAGCCTCCAGTACCCCTGAGGGCAAAGAAAAAAGAAAAGAAGGCGAAAGCGGGGTGGGTCCGCAGCAGGGTGGGAGCTTGAGCCGCAATGTCATGCGGCCCCGCTCACCCCTCTCCCACTTACTGTATTTAATTCAGACAGTGACCGATCCTCTTACACGGGGCCAGGGGGCAGCTTTTTCTCAGGAGGAGGTGAGGCAGCCGGGCTCTTGTCGAGGCAGAGGCGGAGCTAAGGGTGCCGAGCCTCCAGTACCCGAACCCGACTGGTCAACTGGCCGTAGGCCGCACACCATATATTTCATTCATTCTGATCTGTTTGTTGTTGTTTATCACATCCGTAAGGTATCGTCCCATCGTATTGCAAAATTGTGTAGGGTAGGCGGCAGCGATAGCAGTCCAATGGATACCTTCTGGCGTCTTCCCTGTCAGTTCGATGTGCGGCTTGCGGGACTTTGAGCACATATTCCCACGAGGACAGCAAAGGCGCTCGATAGCTGTACATCTGCCGGCATTCCACAGCGCAATCCGTGTGCGCTTTTTCCACCTAGCACTGAACTGGCACATGTCACAGACGTGAACCACACAGGAGTCGTCGCATAATAGTCTACACAGGTGTGGTGCACGCCACATCATAGATGTACTTGGGTTTTCCAAAGCTACTGGTGTATTATGACGATTTGCAAGGCGTATGATCTGGGTAGAGAATAGGAAAGTGTCGTTACCAATATTTAGCTTAGCCTGATTAGCAGCACTGAGCCCAGGAAGTCCGAGAATGTGTTCAGAGTCCCGAATAGCAGGCCGTCTAGCAATAGACCAGGTGGTACACGGGGTCCCTAACCAGATGCCGACGACAACGTTCCCGCGGATCCAACCTTTGATAACGGCCTGGAAGGCCGGGCACAGATGGTCCTGGAAAGCGTGTTTTTTTACATCCAGGCTGAGAACGGCGAACCCCTGGGACTTCAAAAACTTGCCGATACCCCCGCTGCCCGCGAAAAGCTCCAAGAAGATAACTCTCCTGTTGGTGGTGGCCTTCCTCAGCGCCCGAGTCAGGAGGTTCTGAAGGTACCGCTTCACCCGTTGGGAATGGCTCATCTTGGGGCCACTGCAGGAATCTGAGATACTAGCCGTGCTGGAAGTCTGCTCACTGCTTGCTTGACACTGGATTCGAGGGCTGCTGGCACTCGCAGCTGGGAGGGCCGATTGCCGACCCCGAACTTGATGGCCTCGGCGAAGCTCTGGTGCACCGCGCTGCCGAAGTTGAAGACGGACGGACAGATTTGGTTGATCACGCGCAGCAGCTTGGTCTCCTTCCCGTACCTCTTCAAAGAGGCCACTGTTGTCCAGCGACCCCGGCGCATGACTTGTTCTGGCGTTCGCTTTCTGGCCGCCAGGTCCTCCGAAGCCCCTCCGCGTCGTAGCTGATACGGATGTGGGTCGAAAGGTCCTAACCCCAGACCCTCGGCCACTGCGATGAACACGTCCTTGTAGAGCTCGCTGCTGAACCCCCACAGGCCCCCGTCTGGCAGGCTGGCTTGCTTCAGGCCGAGAAGGGGCTCCCACAACCACTGCTCGTCGATCGTCACAGCGTCGTCGAAGGCCCCCGTCTTGCCGGGGATGCCGAGGGAGGTCTCGTGCAGCACTAAGCCCATCATGGTGTAGCCAGCACCTGCCACTGGGACCGCGGCGACGATGCTCTTGCCGAGGAGCGCCATCGCCTCGATAGGCCGCAGGTAGCAGACGTGTGATACCGCCACCATGATCGCCATCCGCGGGAGTCCGAGCATGATCATGCCTCCCGCGATCGCCAACGCCGCCAGGCGTGGCAGGGGGAGCCGGGACTGCGCTGGCGTCCGCCGACACCAGCTGACTGCGCACCGGGTCGCCCTCGGCAGCAGGGCCCGCGTCTTCTTGTACAACTCGGGGAAGACATAGCCCAGCGCTGCCAGGAGCCGGCTCGCCTCGTCGGCCCCGTGGCCCTCCATGTACATGGAGTTCAGATATTCCACCACCACGTCGTCCAGCCCGGGCGCGTCCACCCAGCTCACCTTCGCCACGCGACAGAAGTCGAGGAAGAAGCGGAGGGTCCGCTGGTACAAAAGCACGGTCCCCGGCTTCACGGCAATCTTCTCCAGCACGCTCATCCACGGGAAGCGGTCGCAGGCGTCCACCTTCGAGGCCGCCTCCCGAGCCCGGGACGCTCGTTCCTTCTTGAGCTTCCCGGCCTTCTTGCTGAGCTGCTGCTGGCGCGTGCCGCTGGCCGCGGACTTGCCCATCGCCGAGCTCCCG